GAAAGGGTTATCAAAGAGGGCTCTTGGAAGGAAGAAGAGGACATAAACAACATGTGGGAGAAAATGGCAACCAACATTTGGAAAGTGACCTCAGAGGTGTGTGGAGTAACCAAAGGAAGTGGAGGCGAGGCTAAAGATACTTAGTGGTGGAACGAGGAAGTCAAAATGGCTATTAAGGAAAAGAAAGAATGTTATAGACGCTTGTACCATGACATGAGTGTGGACAACATAGGGAAGTACAAGGTGGCAAAGAAGACTGCAAATCGAGCTGTAAGTGTGGCAAATGGTAGTGCGTACGAAGATCTTTACCAACATTTGGGTACGAAAGAAGGAGAGAAGAACATTTATTGGATGGCTAGGGTTCGTGAGAGAAAGACAAGGGACTTCAACCAAGTTAAGTGCATTAAGGATGAAAGGGAGCATATCTTGGTGAAGGAGGATGAGATCCGACATCGTTGGCAAGAGTATTTTGACAAATTATTCAATGGTGAGAATACGGGCACAACCTTTCAGTTGGATGACTATTTTGATGACACCAATAGGCGCTTTGTGCGGAGAATCCAAGAATCTGAGGTCAGAGAGGCATTGAAAATGATGAAAGGAGGGAAGACGATGGGACCGGATGGTATCCCAATCGAGGTGTGGAGATGCCTCGGGGACATAGCTATAGTATGGCTAACCAAGCTGTTCAACCATATTTTTCGATCGAACAAGATGCCTGACGAGTGGAGGAGAAGTATATTGGTACCGATCTACAAAAATAAAGGGAATATTCAAAGTTATACTAATTACCGGGAAATTAAGTTGATGAGCCATACTATGAAGCTATGGGAGAGAGTTATCGAGCATCGCTTGAGAGCAATAACGCGGGTCTTTATGAACCAATTTGGTTTCATGCCCGGAAGGTCAACCATGGAAGCCATTTTCTTAATAAGACAAGTTATGGAGCGGTATAGGGAGAAGAAGGACCTACACATGGTTTTTATTGACTTGGAGAAGGCTTATGATAAAATACCAAGAAATATTATGTGGTGGGTTTTGGACAAACATAAAGTCCCAACGAAGTACGTCGGGCTCATTAAGGATATGTACAACAATGTTGTGACTAGTGTTCGAACAAGTGATGGAGACACGGATGACTTCCCGATTAGGATAGGACTACATCAAGGGTCAGCTTTGAGCTCTTATCTGTTTGCCTTAGTGATGGATGAGGTCACAAGAGACATACAAGGGGACATCCCTTGGTGTATGCTTTTCGCGGACGATGTAGTGCTAGTTGATGAAAGTCGGACAGAAGTGAATCAAAAACTGGAGTTATGGCGGGAGACTTTGGAGTCCAAAGGTTTTAGACTCAGTAGAACTAAAACTGAGTATATGAGATATGACTTTGGCACTACTACTCGAGAGGAAGAAGATATTAGTTTAGAAGGTCAAGTAATGCCTAGGAAGGATACATTTCGATATTTAGGATCAATGCTACAGAGAGACGGGGATATTGATGAAGATGTTAGCCATAGAATCAAAGCAGGGTGGATGAAGTGGCGCCAAGCATCTGGTGTGCTGTGTGACAAAAGGGTACCACAGAAGTTAAAAGGCAAGTTTTATAGGACGACGATTAGACCTACTATGTTGTATGGTGTAGAATGTTGGCCTACGAAAAGACGACATGTTCAACAGATAAGTGTCGCGGAAATGCATATGTTGCGTTGGATTTACGGTCATACAAGAAGGGATCGAGTTTGGAACGATGATATACGTGATAGATTAGGGGTAGCACCAATTGAAGAAAAGCTTGTCCAACACCGGTTGGGATGGTTTGGACATGTCCAACGGAGACCTCCAGAGGCACCGGTGCGTAGTGGAATCCTAAGCCAGGATAGTAACGTGAAGAGAGGCAGAGGAAGACTGAAGTTGACTTGGATAGAGGCAATAAAAGGAGACTTGAAATGATGGAATATACCCAAAGACTTAGCCTTAGGAGTGCTTGGAAAATAGCTATTCACGTGCTTGAACCTTGATTACTTCTGCTGGGTTTCAACTCTAGCCTACCCCAACTTGTTTGGGACTTAAAGGCGTTGTTGTTGTTGTTGTTGTTGTTGTTGTTGTTGTTGTTGTTGTTGTGTTTCTTGAGTTAGCATGAGTTTCGCAACATGGAATATAACAAACCAACAAATATGTAGTGTTTGATCATTACAGCAGCAGCAATTGGTGAACACTGAAGAGCTCAATGATCTGGTACCAAATGAGAGACTTTCATGCTTCTATAGATTTATTTACATGCTGACAGTCATGTATGGACAGAGTACAGAGATGCATATGACTGCATTTTTTTTCTTTTGAAATGGAGAAACATCAGTGAAGTTATTATGACTGCTACTAGTTTCCTCAACCTTGACACAAATTAAATCAAATGAATCACAAGCCCATAGAATCAAGATATGGCATCAATCCTGTACTCATGTACTTATGGTCTTGGGAACCAACCTTTTGGTTTCTGGCCCTCTGTGGAAGGGAACCAATCTTGATTCTTGAAATAACAATGAACAAATGATGTGTGGTGTGGATCATTTTCAGTTAGCCTAATTGAGTCTCTAGACTGGTTTGCAGTACACTATGGTCAACACCCACCGCCTAGCTAGTCAATCATTACCAAGCTCTTCAGGACATGCTTTCAGTTGCCTCCCCTGCATGCATATCTCCTGATCTCAGCACTTCAGCAGTGCACACAATGTTTCAAGTGCTTGGAACAAGCATTGCATTACTTGTATGATGTAACTCAGCTTGTGCAAAATGCATGCTGCATTCCATGCACTTGCTACGTACATGTCTGCTACTTGGAGGCGAGCAGGAGTTCCTCCGCGCCAACTTTCATGTTGGGGCCTGACGCGAACTTGACAAGCCTGTTGTTGTTGTCGGGGACCGCGGCCTTGACGATGAACACGCCGCAGACAGGGCGGTGGTCGGAAAACTTGGACTCCCCGCGGACGTAGCACAGCTGCACTATCCCTTCGCCGTGCCAGAGGATCCGGTCGCACCTGCAGGCAGAATTTTTTTGGGTTTGGTCACCATCAGGCATGCACACTGAACATTTTCTGAAAAAACACACATGAACATTTTCTGTTGTCGGAAATCGGAACGGAAGGCGAAGGCTCACTCACCATGCCGGCGTCCTCCTCTTCTTCTTGGACGCCACGTCCTCGCCGGCGTAGGTGTCGGAGTTCCACGAGTACTTGTAGGTGGGGGCGAAGAAGATCTTGCCCTCGTTCCACCCTCTGAAGACCCCGCTCTCCCTTTCAGTCTTGAGCTGTTCAGTTGGGATTTCATCAGGAGTGCCAAATGACACACTTGCATTGCAGGCAGAACTCTGACAGAGTTTGTGCAAAAATCATATGAACTTGGGTTGCATTTCATGGTTACCTGATCCTTCTCGAAGAGAGCGCCCCAGTCGTTGGCCTGGACGAGCTTCTTGGCCTCCGTGTAGCTCAGAGCAATCCGGTAGTTGAGATCGCCTAGCCAGATCACACGACTGCGCCCGTCGTCAGTCAGCTTACTTATCCGATCGAATCGATCCGAGTGGATGAGCAGCGAGCAGGGTAGCTACTTACTCGTGGTCGAGGATTCGCTCGGGGATCCGGCGGCCGGAGCGCTTGCAGAGGCGGCGGAACTGCGTGTTCTTGAGGATCTCCACCACGTCGGAGTTCCGCCTCAGCTCGTCGCCTTCCTTCTCCCCTGACGCCAGGTGGCTGCACACGAAGCACAGGCTCGTCTGGTGCAGCGACATGCTCACCGAGATGCACCCCTGCAGTTGCACAAGCAAAACACATCGCATCACACCATGTCACGATCTTAACGACGACGGCGGCGGCGATGACGGCGTGGCAATGGCGGTTCAGAGTTCAGACAGACAGCTGACCGACCTTGTTGCCGAGGTAGCCCATGATGCCACGGCCGACGCAGGAGAAGCGGACATGGCCGACGTGGGGCACCAGCCCGCGCCTCACCCACACCGTCGCGAACAGCCCCACCATCTGCTTGCACGCCACCAGGCAGTAGCACTCGCGCCGCCCCGCCACCGCGGCCCCCGCAGCCGCCCCGGCTGCGGCGGGGCTCTTGGTCATCACGTCGGACGCCGCGAAGCTGCTGGCCCGGACCTCCTCGTCCTCCTCGTCGTCGTCCGACGTCGTCGAGTCGCCCTCCACGGCGGCGGCGCTCGCGCTCCTGCCGCCGCCGCAGCCCATCAGGCAGGGCGCCCTGCAATATGGCTGCCTCCTCCGCGGCGGCCAGTGGAGGTGGTCCGACGACGGGCAGGTGCACGCCTTGAGCCGCCGCCCGCGGGTGATGGCGGCGCGCCGGATCTCCCTGTTCGAAGACTTGTGGAATCGGGCCGGGTCCAGGGGGCTGGTGCTCGGCGTCTGGAGAGCCGAAGCCGCCGGGGACGGCGCCGCCGCCGCCGCCGCCGCCGCGGCCGTGTCCAGGGACCGGCTGAACGAGTAGCTGCTGGCTGAAGCTTCCGACACGGCGGAGGCGTCGGAAGACGGCGATGGCCGGTTCAGCGCCTGGTTGATGAGCGCCAGCCATCTCGACGCCGGCTCGTTGTCCTCGATCACCAGGACGTTGCCGGCGTTCAGGGGGACCACTTCTTGGAACCTGCATTGGTTCCATCCAAATTATGGCGGGAAAAAAGATAAAACTGCTTCAAACTTTGAAGTTAACAAACTGTAGTTGATGGTACTTGTTAGTGTCTATGGATTAAAATTGCAGTTTTTTCGTCGTTACATTACTCCATGAAACTAAAATTGTAATTTTGCTTTTTACATTAATATGTCGATCGAGTTACTAGTTTACTACGGTAACTGATTTTTCAGTATGATGAAATTATTAGTTTAATGAGTAGACAGCAGACAGTGCTAGTAGTTGCAAGGTAACTGTCAATGACTCATTGGAATAAGAACTTAGATATGCAGGATAACCCCAAGGAAAAATTGTGATTGGTTTGCACGATAGGAATGAAGATCAAGAGCACAACATTAAATGTGCTGAAATCTCTCGTGGTTCTGGAGGCATGAAAATGACAACGATTTAAGCCGAAAAGCAAGCATACGTGTCAGAGAGTGTGATGTCTAAAGATGTGATGCCTGAAGATATGAATTGTGATTGTGTAGAAGACGCTGAAAACTAAATCGGATAAGACAATGGCAATAAATGCAGTTTTGTGATGCTTAAATTTGAGCATACCCTAGCACATAAATGTCAGAATAGTCATCAGAAGGCAGGAAATCATTCAGATTGAGATCCCTGTCCGGGGTTTTTCCGGCAACGTTCCATGTGGCTGCAAATACCCTATGATAAGAGCAATGCAAGGCAGAGTAAAATATCACAATTTGAGCTAATGAAATAAAAAGATCTGAATCATGTAAAAGAAAAGTAGAGCCATTGGAAACTAATGACTTGACTGACGACTATACTCACCTGAAAGCTTCCATATGAGTAGTATTGGTTGTTGCAGGAGAACCAAAACCGCCAAATTTTAGACTTCTACTTTCTATTTGGAACAAGATGAAGTTAGAAAATGGAAAGGGAAACCTAGCTAAGACTTCAAGGTCAAAAGAGTTAAGATAACACATGGAAAGATAAAAGCTAATTAGTGATTGAATGTAGATGAGTAGAATTAATGGAGCAGAACGGGATAAATACATACCCGAAAGACTTTTGAAGAAGAATGAGGATGATGCTGACGGGGAAGCCACTGACGACCGTTCTGGGGACTCCTTCAAATCAACTGAAAAACCAATAGTATTGTCTGAATTTGACTGAAATTGTGACAAGAATTTATACAGTAGTTTAAAGAGTTGGGATGTAGGTGATATATAGATTTTTCTTATTCTCCTGGATTACTCGAGAGGGAGAAATAATTGGTTGCTTCGCTTTTATAAAGGATGCAGTAAAAACCTGTGGAGTCGATGCAGTACGCTGTGGTGCTATGTCTTGGTGAGGCATTCCCATCTTTTGTTCCGTGAAGTTTTGGAAAGAGAAACTAGAAAGGAGAGGCAAAACGATAAGAAAAACTCTCAAAAGGTAAACTGAGTAATTTTTAAATTTTGACCGGATGGAATACAAAATATGCTACCTTCTTCTTCCTTCTGCTGGTACTCTTGTCCATGTCTGAACTCAGTTTAATTTCTGCAGCCAGCTTCAAACGAACAGCTCATAAAACAAAGACAACGCCTGCAGAAGGTTTTCAGAACAAGTCTGGTTAGGTAGGCAGAAGTTTCAGCATTACACGAAACCAAGCAGAAGAGTCTAGTGATGACAATAGGAAATCAAAGGTAGCCACAAGGATTTCAAAGACTTGTTCTTCTGGACAAAGACTGGAGCAAAAAGAAATTCAAAGGCACAACGAGAAAGGGAAAAGGCACCAGCAGCTCATTTAATTTGGAAACATTACTTCAAAAAGTAATATGAACCTAACTGGACATAAGAATCTCAGCAGATCACCAAACAGAACAGTGTTTGTCTTCTGCAAGATACCTCACAGAATAGAACAAACAGAGTGAAAAAAATTCAACCGAGCAGCTGACAGCAAAAGAACTAGTTGAACTAAAAACATCTGTACAAAAGGAATTATTTTTTTGCCACAAGATACGTCATGACTTTGTCAAACAAAATTGTGGCATGGACGATGACGAAGCATGTTTGATCCATCCACAAAGGAAAAAACTACATGTTGGACATGTCATCCAAATTTATGGCGGTGATCCGGTCCAATGGAACAGTAGCAGTTGACCAAGCAGACAGGTTTAAAACAACTATGGGAAGTTCCAAATGGGGGATACAGGCACAGCTGCTGTCGCTGCTGCCATCAACATGTCATTAAGAAATTTGAATCTTGAGAAACATTATTTAACATGCTGGAGAAATTGAGACAATCCACAGAAAAAGCTCCTCAAACCAGTGGACAAGAGACAATAGGATGGCGGTTCGCGTATGTTTGCACAAGCATAGGAATATTCGAATGATAGGTAATATCCTAATTCTTTGGTAGATCCAAGTGGCCATTGCAGAGAACGCACACCATTTTCTTTTCGAGACAATCGATCGATCAGAGACAAAAGAAAAGAAAAAAGACGAATCATGAACAATGGAACTTTAGAACAGGGAGGGGAAGGCAGCTAGAAAGGGAGAGTCTGGAGATCTTACATGATGGGGAGCAGCTAGCTGGTGCGAGGCATGAGAAGGGATGAATAGCTGGAGGAAGGGGAGCAAAAGAGGCTTCAGAAAAATTGGGGTTTGACGAGCTGTCTCCACACTGCACCAAGGAAGCAATGAAAGTTGCCAAGAACCGAATAAACTAACCTGCCTAGCTATATATATAAGCCTAGGAAGCAGGCTGTCAACAAGTGTTGCATCGTGCTGTGTTAAGAAATAAACTCCTCCATAGATATCCAAAAGAGGGGACAATGGTTGTTGGTTGCTCTAGGAACCACCACCGGGAGCTAAGGTAAGGTAAGCTAGGAATGAAGTAGCTGGAAATTAAAAGCTTTATTTGAAACAGCTTGTTTGAATGAAGGCTGGAATGGAACAGCTAGCGAGTAGTGCAGGCAGAAAAACCTCCAAAACAGTATCAGATGCAGACAGGAGGAAGAGGCCAAAAGCTGAACAACATGCTTTGATGTCGTTGATTAATAGTGCAAGTAAGTAGGGAGACAAATATGTGTAGCAATGGGCAATCGTACACGGAAACCGAGGCAGCCGTTTTGGGGCATGGAAGCGTCCAAAAACAAATCAAATCAAATCAAACGGACGCAGACGCTGAGGGCTGAGGCTCCAAGAAAAGATGATTTGACCCAAGATTTGTTGTTTTTTTCTGGATGAATTAATTGGAGTTGGCAAGAATGAATGAATGGATTTCATCGGAATGAGCATGGTGATTATGTTATATTATTATATTACATAACTGGTGAGTTGGGAACAGGCAGGGGGCGAAGATAACATAGAGAGAAAAGTTGCGATAATGATTGTTTTGTGAGTAATGAAAAAGGGAGAAGAAGCTAGGGGGGAAAAACACTCCTTTTCTAGGTAAAGACTACTCTTGGAATGAAATAATGCGAGGAGCCGGCCAAAATCCATAAAGATACATGCAATGCAAAAGCAGGAACTCTCTTGGAACATGAAAGTGAAAGCACGAATAAGCAATGATGCATGTATGTATGCTAATTAAGTTGCTAACATAGCAACATACAAGATCAAAGATGAGAGGGAAGAAGAGAGGAGAAGAGCCGATCGAGCGAAGCACAACGAAGGAATGGAAGGAAACTAATTAACAGGCAGCAGCAGCAGCAGATGGATGGATGGGTAGAAAAGAAAGGAATGATGAGTTACCTCCTGATGCAGGCTGGATGACACAACGATAGCCGCCGTGGCGACCGATGATGGCCGGAGAGATCGAGGAGCTGGCCGCCGGCGGTCGGTTGGCGTGCCTCGTGCCGTCGTGCGTGCGCGTGGCTGCCAGCCTGCCACTGCCAAATGGAGAGAGATGGAGACGCAACCGCGAGCAGAGATGGAGAAGAAAGGGAGGATTTGGAAGGAAACGGGCCGTTTGAGTTGAACGAAAGGGAAACAAACAGGTGGTTAAGAACCAAGGAAAGAGGAGGTTTTAGCCAATTAGGTAGTGGTGGTGATCTAGTAAAAAAAAAGAGCGCGTGGTGGTGGTGATTTGGAAACCGCCGGCCGGGTCGGCGGCGACGGCGATGCGTGGTCGTGGTCGTGGTTGGTTGGTGACGACGGCCGGGGAGGAGGACGTGCTTGCTTGTGGTTGTGGTTGCTACCTTGGTCAACTCGAATCGAAGGAGAGCCTGAAACCAGCTGCCTGGGTCCCGCCCGCGCGCTCGCTCCGATCGATCGGATCCTGAGCTCCTGTCGTCACCCTGTCCCCTGCGGCGGCCGCAACGGCTGCTTCGTGCACGGCAATACGGAATGCGCTGCTGCAGGTGCTCTGCTCTCACCATTCATCTCGCCTGCAGCTGCTGCAGGGATCGACGACGTGCAGCTACCTGCTCAGTGTGCTCCATGACTACAGATCCCACCTTCTAGTGTTGAGAATCATGGTGTACCTCTACGGGGTAAAGCCTCTTACTTACATGGGGAAACATTTGTTGTACCTTGGGATGGGTCACCCTTCCGGTACATGACCACCGGTGTCGTGGCAGCTCCGGCGTAGACGCCGGTACCGCGGCGTTGTAGTGGCGATGCAGTGGATGTCCAGTGGCCCGGTGGTGACCCTACAGGGGCGACAACGGAGTTGATGGACTTTCCGTCGCTGGCAGCACTCCTTTGATCGGATTAGGTTTCTCTGTGGTGTGGTTGCGGCGGCTCTGGTCAACTTCGTTAGTCGAGCCCAGTTCCCCACTCCTCTATTTATAGTGCTGTACAACAGGGGCCCACCAACCACATTAGAGTTGGGCGCTCCCGATTAGGACGCAGATCCAAGGGCCCAATAGGCCGTGGTGGAGATCAACTAACATTCTCCCCCTTGAACTCATTATTATCTTTCAATTTCATATAATTTACTTTTGTTCATTCCATTACAGATTAGCGCATAGAGCATGTCTTATCGTCACGGTCCATTATCGATGGATTTAACAGCTACAACACACTGCTCTGTTCTGAAATAGGTACTTATCTTTGGGCCTTCTTTTGTCCAGGAATTTTAGGCTTTCCCTTAAACCCATGCTAACTACATGTTCTATGAACACCATGTTCTCTGAACACGTTGGGTAGTAAGCCTTTTGTAAGCGGATCCGCGAGCATCTTTTCTATACTTATATGCTCAAGACTTATGACTTGATCCCGGACTTTATCTTTTACAACAATATACTTTATATCAATGTGTTTGACTTTCAACTTTTGCCTTAAATATCTTAAATTTATCCAATATTTCTTTTCTTTGTTTGATTGGATAAATGTAGTCATAATAGAAGTAATCATCTGTGAATGTTATGAACGAAACATAATCATCCACACTCTTTATAGGAAACTAATCACAGATGTCTATGTGAATAATCTGTTAAATTTCTACGCTTCATTTGACATCTTTCTTAATTTTCTTTACATACTTTCCTTTTATGCATTATGAGAGCTCTAATAGAGGAAGAACATTATTCTTAACTAGCCCATCTATTCTTCCCCTCGAAATATGGCATAAACGACAGTGCCATAATTTCGACGACGCATCGTGAGCTCTCTTATGCCAATATTTCCAGAGTAACTCTCTGTCATCAGCTGCTTTATCAGCTAGGTAGCATATGTCTTTGAAGAGCCAGTGAACTGACTCTTTATTCTATCGAGGTATTCGGTGACCGTGTCACACTCTGGGATTGAGCCCACAATATAGGCTCAATCGTGTTCTTTATCACAGCCAAACATTTCTTATTGGCAGTGACCCACTTTCTATACACAAGGGCATAGAACATCTTCAGGATTCAAAACCCCTCTCTTTAGTTGCTCAAACGGCATCAGCCTCGTCCGTCTCCCTCACTTGTGCCACAGGATCAGTGGGACACGGTGAGGTGACTAGCCAGTCCATCTTAACCAAGATGAAAACCAGGTTAAACCTTTTCTTAACATAAAAATAACAACAATTGCATGCCTTGATTCCAACGTTGGTCAAAATCAAAACATACAACTCTTTTTATACACTAATTCTACATTACTGTTGAGCAGAAATAGAATTAATGTATAAAACATTAAAATTTACGACTGTTCTTATACACTAATTCTACATCACCGTTTGACAGAAATAGAATTAATACATAAATCATTAAAACTATGATATTGTTATTAACAACGTTGGTCAGAAAATAACATCATAATCATGTCAAAATCTATTTTTCTCCAATTAAATATCACATTGGTTCAAAATAACTGGAGAATAAACAATTTCTTTAGCAGCGGAAAAACTCGCTTTTTCTCCAATTAAATATCACGTTGGTTCAAAATAACTGGAGAATAAACAATTTCTTTAGCAGCGGAAAATGTATACTCAATTTCTCGAATTTTACCCACAGGGAAAATTTACTTTTTCTATTTTCTTTAAGCTATTAATCAATTTTCAGGAAATAAACATTTACTGGAAAAGGAAAACGAAAAAATCTCACCGTTTTT